TGGTGTAGCAGTCTAGTTCCTGAGAAAAACTCCTTCTCCTACTGTTTGAATGGTAAGTTCTTCCTCCTCCTCCTCCTCCTCCTCCTCCAATATTGCACTATAGTCCATATCCTCCTCATCCAAAAATAGGCTCCTCATGCCAACCAAAATCTCATCTTCTTCCGAACCCTAAATCATATCGGCCTGGCGGAATGTCTGGTGTAGCAGTGGTATGGGCTGAGGCAATGGGTAGGGGAAATCCTGCCATGGTGGTGACCAATCATTATATTCTTGTATAGTGTATTCATACCCGAGACCAAAGGTTGTGCCCTGAGTGTGTGGTCGTATTGGTTCTGTTATCCCTTGAAGTTTAGGACCAAGACCCTTGCATGGTTCATACCCTAACCACATAAGCATGATTAACACCTTGTTGCTCCACCATTGTCCTTTTTCGACCGTATTCACCCGATCAATGTTGTAGAATGTTTCTCCTCCCAACCTCCTTATGTTCTCAACTGCTGGTACAGTCTGGTTGGTAGAGATGGGATTGCTTCTATCTCCATGGATAACTGCCCCTAATGATTCCACTCAAACTTCACGGCTTGATGTAAATTAGAAACAACCGCCCCAGCCATGTGTATCCATGGTCGTCCCAACAACAGACTATAGGTAGTAGATATTTCCAGCACCTGGAACTCGACATCGAAAATGGTAGGGCCTATCTTCAGATCCAGGTTAATTTCTCCAATTGTAGCTCTTTGGGACCCATCGATTGCTTTCACGTTCATGCTTCCCATTGATATCTCCGATATACCTATGCCCAGTCTTTTCAGAGTAGTCAAAGCACATATTTCAGACTTGAACCCCCGTCAATCAAAACTCGAGCAATGAACTTATCTTCATATTGCACAGTGATGTGCAATGCTTTGTTATGACTTAACCCCTCCGGTGGTAACTCGTCTTCATGGAAAGTGATCTTGTGACTCTCCAGCTCCTGTCCTACCATGTTTGCCATCTCTCCACTAGTGATTCCAATGAGTACGTAGGCTTCACTTAACACCTTCATCAAGGCGTTCTTGTGTGCATCCGAATTTTGTAGCAATGATAAGATAGATATTTGAGCGGGAGTTTTGTTTAGGTGATCAACAACATAATACTCCCTCACATGTACCTTCCTCCAAAGGTCATCAGTACCTGTCTCTACAATAGGTGTTTTTTCTGCGGTCTCCTTACTTGTTCCCCCAACATTTTTCGGTGTGTAGACCCTGCCGGTTCTAGATATTCCCTGGGTGCACCTGTCTCTTCCAGCTTGGCTTTTCCTTTTCTTCTTGCCTCTGCTACATAACCCCATAGAGCAACATCATGTTTGTAAGATGGCGATGGAGCTACCATCACAGTGAATGATGGCCTGGGTGTAGCCACTCCAACCTCTAATGGCACCTTGGTCTGTACCACAATCGGCAAGAGTGTGATAGTAGATGTCATAGAAGTGTCTCCCTCTCGAATAAGAATGATAGATCCTTCCTCATCCCATTCTTCATCAGTCTCGATCATATTTACTCCCTAACCCTTATGATCAGGAAGGGGTTATTGTGGATATTTGGTGCAGATTCCTTTATCTATATGACCTTGGTGTCAATCAATGTTTGGATATTGTCTTTCAACGTACGTCATTCCTCGATAGTGTGTCCCTTCATGCTTGAATGATAGGCACAAGTCTTGTTGGGGTTAACCCACTGAGAAGGTTTTCAATAGTGACTACAGGAATAAGAGTGACATAATCGGTGGCCTTCAGTCTCTCGCATAATTGGACTATGGGTTCAGCAATGGTGGTGTATTGTCTAGGAGTTCTGCTGTCGAAGTTTGGTCGGGGTTTTGGGTAATTCGGACGGGCAGGTAGAGATGAGTAGTAGTATGTTGGCTGGGTATTGTAGGTATGGTAGGTAGTAGAATGGTAATGTGTAATTTAGGGGTGAAGGCTGATATGCTGGTGGTGGTGTTTGATAGGTGAGGGGAGACTTCAGGCCTTGGGCTACCATAACGGCACCCACTTCCTTCTTCGTTGAAATGCCTCCGGACTGTAAGGCTTTATTGGTGCTCTAAAGTTGGTAACCATACCACTCTTGATGCCCTCCTCTATTCTTTCTCACGAACTTATGATTTTCTATAACCATCAATCTCTCATACTACTGTGGATCCGGAGCTCTGACGAAAAACTTATTCATTTGCTCCTCTTCTAGCAGCAGCCTTACCTTGGTGGCCTCTGATCTCCAGGGGGTGGCATACTCACAGAATGTCTCTGTTGTTTTCTTCTTGAAGTTATAGATATAGAAAATGTCTGGCGCATTTTTGTGTTGAACCTAAAGCGGTCCATAAAATCGAATGCCATACTTACCAAATTAGGCCACTTCATAGGGTTCTGACTGATGTACCTAGATAAAGCTTCTCCACTGAGATTCGACATGAACAGTTTCATGTGGATTTGCTCGTTCTTGTAGAATACCATGAGTTTATCACAGTAAGTACTCAAATGCACCTTGAGATCACCGGTTCCATAAAACATTTCAAACTTTGGAAGTTTTGTAACCCTCCGGTAACTCCACGTCTGGCTAGATATACAAATCTTCATAATTCAAACCTTCGACACTTTTCCTCCCTCGATGCTCTGGACTCTTCCAGACAACTTCTTTAACTATTCAACCATGTTCCTGATGAGCAGGTCCTTCTGTGTTGGTGAAAACATTAAAGGCCCCTTTTATAGCGCCATTTAAGGCTCTAGGGTTTCACAAATTCAAATAAGTAGTGGAGAGTGACACATAGTAGATGATGATAGAAAATCGAGTGAAATAATCTCGAGGATAGAGAGGAATTCAGTGTTGAGTTTACCTGAGAGGAGGAATCGATGGCTGAAGGCTTTGAACCAACGGACAAATCCTAAAACCCAGAGGTCAAACAGTTTGACCTATGGGTATAGAATTTCATGATGAATCTCTGAAGAAAGCTCCATGCATGCTCCGATTTAACGGAGCAATAGAGGATTTGAACGATTTGAAGTTTCATGTTTAAGCTAGGGTTCCAGATTTTAGGTGTTTGAATTTGAACGATGAAATGGGGAAGAACTCGGCGGGATTCGCGGACTCAGAAGACAAAGGGAATGATTTCTGGTCGATTTGTGACCTTGCACGAATTGATGCAAGGTTATTTGGTTGATTAGTATGATAGGAGTTGAGAGACGGAATAGAGAAAAGGGAAAGGGGGCGGCGAAGTCAGAGACGAAATGATTTAGGGTTAGGGGGGTTGGAAGGTTGGTCTCTAGGTTAAGAATGAGAGGGTTGGTCTAGGCCGTTGAACTTTTAGATCAACGGTCCTGACATTTTGGTGTTAAAACATTTTTTATGGGAAGGTTTTGTAGCCGTTGGATCCTTGTGATCCAACAATCGAAATTAAATCTCCGAATGTTAAAAATTAAAGAGGAAATAAGGTTAAAAGTCGTGGGTCATTGATCTAAGAAACGAACAGCCAAATTTGTTGTGTTTATTTTGTAAAGGTGGGAGACGGGTAACGTGGCACGACCTCATTGGATGAGAAGAAGCAACGGGGATTGCCATGGTGGAGAGAAGAGAATTGGACCTGGGTCTTTTTTCGGATTGGGCTGATGCATTGAGCCAAAATGATTTAAGGAATAGCCACTTTGCATTAAATTGAGAATTGCAATTGTAGCCTTTTGTTTTTGATCCACTTTTGAATATAATTTAAATAAACTTAAAAATTTTAATAAAATGTGGTAAAAATTATAATTATTATATACTACTAATAATTTTAATTAATTATTCGTAAAAAATACTTTGTTTTCCTAAATTGTAGCACTAATTTTCAAATTTCACATAATAATCTAATTAACTAGAAATTAAGACTAATTTATCAAATTAATTATAGAACCCACGTAATGTATATATAAAAAATATTTTAATAATCTTAAAAAAAAATAGTAAGTATATTTGTAATTACATAATGTTAACACTCCGCGATTAATTTCAAAACTATTACTTAAATTGATTTGTAAGACTAGGTGTTTGTTACTAGAAAATACTTTTAAAATATTTATTGTAAATTATTAAGTATAAATAAATTAATTTAAAAAAGGATGTTCAAAATTGGCCGTCAACATTATTGTACTTCCTAGTAGATGCTCATACACTTGTGACACCAGGTTTTGGGATGTTCTAAAATTTGTTTGTGGTTTTGCTTAACATTTACACACTTTTATTTTATATTTTATTTAAATTGTATGTATCCATGACATTTAATGCATTAATTTCTTTATCTAATAAAATTCATGATTTCAAAAATAATAAAATAAATAATTAAGTTGATAATTCATTGTTGGCTTGTCTAACGGCGACGTTGGGTGCCATAACGACCAATTGTGGGAATTGGGTCGTGTTCACACTTGTTAACTTGTCCGGGGTGTCCTCGATGGCTTTGATTTTAACAGGATTTACCTTGATCCCTCTTTGCGAGACCAGAATGCCCAAGAATTTACCGGAACCAACCCCGAAGGCACACTTCTCCGGGTTGAGTTTCATGTTGTATTTCCTCAGAATGTCGAAAGTTTCTTGGAGATGCTTCGGATGATCTCCCGCATTTAAATACTTAACTAGCATGTCATCAATATACACTTCCATCATTTTACCTATCTTCTTTTGGAATATCTTGTTAACGAGCCTGTAATAAGTGGCTCCGATGTTTTTAAGCCCAAAAGGCATCACATTGAATCAATAAGTGCCAAAGTTTATGATGAAATAAGTTTTTTCTTGGTCTTCCGGGTTCATCCTAATCTGATTATATCCTGAATAAGCATCAAGAAAACTCATCAACTCGTGCTCGGCCATAGCATCAATCATTTGATCAATGTTTGGCAGTGGGAAATAGTCTTTGGGGCACGCCTTATTCAAATCATTATAGTCTACACACATCCTAAATTTGTTATTCTTTTTAAGTACTACTTCTAAGTTAGCTAGCTAATCCAGATACTTTACCTCTCCGATTGAACCGATATTGAGTAGTCGAGTTACCTCTTCTTTACCAAACCTGTTTCTGACCTCTGCTATTGGGCGTTTCTTTTGCCCTTCCGGTGGGAAGTTTAGATCCAGGCTTAGTGTATGGACCGCTACCTCCAGTGGTATACTTGTCATATCCGAGTGCGAACACGCAAAGCAGTCAACGTTAGCTTTAAGGAAATTTATAAGTTCTAACCCGAGCTCGGAACTTAATCTCGTCCCCAAATGAAATTTTGTTTCCAAAAAATCCTCAAACAAAGCCACTTGTTCGAGCCCTTCTGCAGTTGATTTGGTCGCATCCTTTTCTTCCGGTACCTGAAAAGACCTCGGTACCTGATATAATGGGAGAAGGCATCGGTTCCTGTAATTGTTATTTATTTGATTCTCTGTCCTTGCTGTTCGAAATGGTTACAACATTCATTTCCCTTGATGGCGGTTGGTCTCCTCTTATCCGTTTGATCCCTTCTGGTGTTGGAAATTTCAACAATTGGTGATAGGTCGAGGGCACAACCTTCATCTCGTGTATCCACGGCCTTCCGAGGATCACATTATAGCCCATATCGCTATCTACCACTTTGAACAAAATAGTCTTCGTTACTCCTTCCACGTGCGTGGGCAGAAAAATCTCTCCTCGGGTTGTCACACTTCTCAGATTGAAGCCAGCTAGAAGCTTTGTCGCCGGAAGGATGTTCCCGATTAACTTCATTTGCTCTAGAACTCTCCATTGTGTGATGTTGGCTGAACTTCCTGGATCAACCAAAACACGCTTAATTTTAAAATCTAAAACATTGAGAGAGATTACTTAAGCATCATTGTGTGGCATAAGAAGTTCATCAACGTCTTCCTTTGTGAAGGTGATTTCATCGTCTGAGACTTCGCGAACCCTCTTGCCGTGAGTCACTGATATCATTGTTTCTGTTGTTGCTGAGAAAGTTACCTCAATGACCTCGCTTAATTCGAAGATCATGTTGATAGTTATCCGATGTGACCTTGCTGCCATCTTTGATGGCTCCGCTTTGTCCCGGCTTCAACCATAATTGTTTTTGGCGCGGTCACTTAAAAACTCTCTAAGATGACCATTCTTTAACAATGTCGCCACCTCCTCGTGAAGATGTCAGCAGTCCCCAGTTCTATGGCCGTGAGTCCCATGGAATTCACACCACAAACTAGGATACCTCTGGTTAGAATCCGATGGGATTGGTTTCGCAAAACCGTGCACCAATTCTACCAAGTTGAAGTTAAAGTTATAATTTGATAACCTGGGATATGCAGGATCTCAGGACCCTGGCACCTTTTTTTTTGCAACGACCTATTATTCCGGCCACGATTCAACCTTCTACTGGAAGAAAACCTATCCGATGACTTAAATCCTTTACTTCTACGCCCATCGAACCTCTCATACGGTAGAAAACGACCCCTAGAGGACCTCCGATCTACATCAAAGTCATTTTTAAACATATCCTAATTTTTAGTGCTACCCCGTCCCTTGGATGACATCGAAGATCAAAGTTGGTCATCTTCTATCCTTATCTTTGACTCGTAGAGATTGTGGACATCTGCCCATGTGGTTGCCTGGAACTCGAGCAAGCTCTCTTTCAATTTTCGGGAGGCATCAGAACTCAATGGATTGAGGCCCTTTGTGAATGCCTCTACTGCCCACTCATCCGAAATTGCTGGTAGCAGCATCCTTTCTTTCTAGAACTAGATTATGAATTCCCGCAGCAGCTCGGATTCTCCTTGCGAAATTCTGAATATTTCTACCTTTCTTGCTCCAGAGTGGTCTTTAATGAATGAATCTGCAATCATTTCGAAAGAATCGATTGAATGCTCAGGTAAGAGGGAATACCATGTCAGGGCCCCCTTCGTGAGGGTTTCACAAAACATTTTCAACAGAACCGATTGAATCTTATGTTGAGCCAAGTCATTTCCCTTCACTGTTGTGGTGTAGGTCATGATGTGCTCCTGCGAATCCGAAGTCCCATCATACTTTGGTACATCTGGCATTTTGAACCTCTTTGGGATCAACTCTGGTGCCGCACTTGGTTTAAACGGCAACTGCGTGTACCTTTTTGAATCCGGACTCTTCAACACCGGCGGAGCGCCCGACATCTGATCCATCCGAGCATTAAACCCCTTCACATTCTGATCCATTCACTCATTCATCTCTCTCATAAATCTCATGAGCTCAGTTTTGAATGGATCACTCAAGTTTTTATTCCCAGATACGCTACTGGTCCCTCCGGCTTCGTTGAAACCGACCTCATCCCTTAGAGTGTTATTATCGGTCCTTTGCGCCGTCTGATTTGTGGGAATGGTGGGAGGAACCAGGGTCCTTTCATTCTCATTGTTGGAGGCACCTCACATCGCCTATTGTAATTCCATCATCACACAATCTTGTCTTGAGAAGTGATCATGATTCCTCTTTGTTATTAACGGTTTCAATAACGTGTTCGTCCTCCAGATTATCAGGAGTTGGGCTCTGCAGATGCCGAGAATAGTGTCCCTCGCAAACTGGGGTAGTTTCATTCCCTTCGTTGCGGGTCTTGCTAATGGAATCATCACGCTGGGACACTTTTTCCCGTTCATCGCGTGCTCCAATGTTGTAAGCGTTGTTAACATCATTAGCTGCCATATCTAATTTTTACTGAGGAAAGAATCAAAACTTGCTAGTAACAAATGAATGGATCAAATCAATTATGCAGTTGTCTATGCCCCACGATGGGTGCCAAACTGTTTACCCATAAAACGATACAGTTAATTTTATAGTATGATTTATAGACAAGCGAATAAATTTGATCTAAAAATGATAAACAAATAATAACTATAATTAGATTAACAAACAAAAGTAAATGAGATAATAAGCCCGACTCCCAACTTAGCCTTTCCGAGAACAAGAGTAAAAAACTGTTGTAAAGCTATTTAATTTGAGCGTAACAAGATAGTTATAGCTTTTTACTGCAGAATATTTCCTGTCCTACAATGGTTGTTAGTCCTTCTATTTATAGCTCCGGTTAGGGAGACAAGATCCTAAAATCAAGCTCCTCTTGAATGAGAATAAATACGTCATTGATGAGTGCATAACGGTTGGCTTTAAATGCAGATATTCTCTATAACAGCTGCTCATTAAATGGTTATCCGATGTCAAAACCTTCGAATCTTTATTGTCGGCTATGCTCCCTTCGGGATCCATCCGATACCGGTTTCACACTTCTCACCCGATGCCAATTATTTGTTGACTCATCTTTTGCATGTCTTTGGTTCCATGTGTCGCTTCATCATTCGACCACTTGCCATCAACCAATTTCACTCCACAAAATATGGTGTCAACTTTATCAAAACATTAGTGCCACATAGGATTGGGATTCCACCTTGGACAAATTTAATGGAGGAGGGGTATAGTTGAACCATTTAGGTAACGACAGGGGTATTTGTCACGACCCGTAATCCTACCCTTGGGACCGTGATGGTGCCTAACATTTCACTTGCTAGGCAAACCAATATCCCAAAATCTGGAGTCACAAATACATGAGCATCTAGATCGCTACAGATAAAGTCTGAACAAAATACAACTGTTTGAAACTAAATAAATAGTAAAGATAGAATGGAAGGGGATTTCAGGGCTGCAGACGACTTGCAGCTATACCTCAAGTCTCCAAAAGTAGCTGAATCCGAGCAGTCTCGCTATGCGCCGCTGGGATCAACACCGGTATCTGCACAAGAAGTGCAAAAGTATAGCATGAATACAACCGACCCCATGTACTCTGTAAGTGCCGAGCCTAACCTCGACGAAGTAGTACGAGGCTATGGCAAGTCACTCACAAATAACCTATGCAAAATAATAATAATAATAATAATAATAACAGGAATAGAAATAAAGCAATAAACTCATATAAACATACTCGAAGGTCAACTACCAGAGAGCCCCAGAATAACAAAGTCTCAAGTCTCATATCACAATACCGAGGATAACTCTACAATCTCAAACAATTGCAACATATTAAATTTGTTACGGCGCACAATCCAATCCCACCATATCATCATCTGTTCATATCATAATATCCTTATTCCGTCATATCATTTTAATACCGTTTAATACCGTTGCAGCGTGCGACCGGATCCCAAACAATTTTAAATCAATAACATAAACAACTCAACAACAATATTTACAAAATATCAACAAAAACAAGGTGAAATATATAGAACAGTAAAGAACCACCAGAATAAACGGCGAATATCCAACATCTCGGAATCTCAAACTTTACCAATTCATTAGTACAGAACAGTTAAACGACTCACATAAGCAAAATAGCATAATAAAGTGCATCAAATAATATAAAAATAATAAAAGCAGGTAAAATATGTGACAATTAAAATATACAATTAAGGCAAGTAGAAACGGGTAGCAAATAAGCAGAAATCGTGTGAAAAATGAATAAATTAAGGCAAGTAATAATTAAATGACAAGTAACAAGTGTAGCATAGATGTCGAGTAAAAACACGTAACAGTTAAAGCATATAACAGGAAAGGACATGGAGTAAATGAAGACATAGAAATAAATGGCCTAATCCCGCATGGTATATCCCATAACGGCGCATATACACTCGCCACCTCGCATATACGCTGCTTTTCCCACATAATTAATATAGCAAATAATTCAACAAGTCCTAATTCTCTCACGACAAAGTTAGACACAACACTTACCTCTTTCCACAATCAAATCAACACCCAAACACGGCCTTTCCTTTAAAATTAGCCTCCAAACCAGTCAAATCTAGCCAGATATAGTTCAAATAATTCAAAATAAGCTTTAGAAACTACCCACGAGTGAAAATAATTCGATCTTTGATGAAATTAGAAAAAGTCAACCTCGAGCCCGCTTGGTCAAAACCTGAGATTCGGACCAAAACTCGATTACCCAAATTGTAAATCTCAATTTTACAAAATCCCCAAATTCTACCTGATTCCCTAATTTCTACCATGAAAAATCCTATTTAAAGGTTAAAATCAATGAGTGTTTATAGAAATGTAACAAAACAAGTTAAAATTTACTAACTAATGAAGTTGGGATGAAAAACTTCTTCAAAATCGCCTCTAGGCCGAGCTCTAACTTCAAAATGATAAACAATGGTTCAAACCCTGACTTTTGGATTTAATACCTGGGCGTCAGGTGTTCATTGCGTTTGCGAAGCCCCTGACGCGTTCGCGAAGAGCAGCGGCCAAAAGGCTTTCGCATTCACGAGGTACTCTTCGCGTTCACGAAGGCTTAACTCCCCACATGCCTTCGCATTCGTGAACCAGGGCCCGCATTCGCGTAGAGTAACCGCCTGATCTTCCCCCATATCCCACAACTCTTCGCGTTCGCGAGAGGCATGTCGCATTCGCGAAGGGTAAGCCCCCTCTGCTTCGCATTCGTGACCAGCTTCTCGCGTTCATGATGAACAATCCGCCCCAGCCCCAAACTTCCCCTTCGCGATCGCGAAGCACAACACACCAGACACCAGAACCTGCTGTTGCACAAGTTCAAAAATGACCCGAAACCTATCCGAAACTCATGCGAACCACTCAAGCTCCAAACCAAACATGCACACAAGTGTAATAACATCATTTAAACTCGCTCACGCGATCAAATCACCAAAATAACATCTAGAACCACAAATCGGACATCAAAACGCATGAAATTCAATAGAAAACTCAAGAACTTCAAAAATCACAACCAAGCGTCTAAATCCTATCAAACCAACTCCGAATTGTACTAAATTTTGCAGACAAGTTTCAAATAGCAAAACGGACCTATACTAAGTCCCAAAATCAAAATCTGAACGCGATAGCCATAAAGTCAATCTACGGTCAAACCTAGGAAGTTTTCAAACTTTGAAATTACTAGCTTTAGGCAAAACAGTCAAATCAACCTAGGGACCTCCGAATTTAGTTTCGGGCATACACATAAGTCCAAAATTACAATACGGACCTACCAGAATTGTCAAAATACCGATCCGGGATCAACTCATGTTGACCGTAGTCAACTCAAGTTGTTTTTAAAATCAAAAATCATATTTTCTTCAAATTTTTACATAAAATTTGAAACATCAAATGAAGCTAATGGAGGTCTCGGAACACGGAGTTAAAGGCTAGTACTCAAAATGACATATCGGATCGTCACATTATTTTTATATGGATAGTATAACAGAGGGTAAAATGATCATTTTCTCATAGTAAACGGGCACCTTTGGCGAAGGAAATTTAAATAAGGAGTTTCGATAGATATACATAGATAAATATAAATATAATCAAATAGATAAATAAATAATACTAGTAAAGTTGTTTGAAGAACTGTGATACCATTATTTTCTGTGACTCGTATAGGGTATACGTGCAGAAGTAAGCGCACGACCCATTATCCATTTTCATTGCTCTCGACTCTACGCTGAACTGTGGCGAAAAATGGTGGCATTGTTCGCTAGCGCTAATGTGTATGCACCGCTACCACTGTGGTCTTCCATTAGAAAAGAATCAAAGTATCTTTTCCATTGTCACCCAACAATTCACAGTCAACATTTCTCCTCCTCTTCTTCTTCTTCGTCGTCGTCGTTATCAATTCAGCCCCCAACTCGTTATTTCCAAATTGTATCTTGTTATCCTCTGTCTTCTTCCCCAACGACTCGCTTCAACTTCAATCCCTCTACCAAGCTCTTTGTCAGTGGTCCGTTCTCTTTTACTATAGTTTTTTCCATTTCGTTACATTTGCTATTTCCATTTTTACTTTTTTGTTAATAATTTCATTTTGTAGGACTCTCATTTCGTACAACTGAAGAGAGCTTAAGAAATGCCTTCAAGGACTTCGGGGAGATCGTGGAAGGTGATAATATCCCTTCTTTTCTCTCATCATTTAGCAAGCAAATCTTGCTGTTGTACCCTGTGCTTACTTTGCTGTACCTTGCAATGAAGTTGCTCTCATATTGTACTCTGTGCTCACTTTCTTGCAATGAAGTTGCTCTCATATTGTACTCTGTGCTCACTTTCTTGCAATGAAGTTGCTCTCATATTGTACTCTGTGCTCACTTTGTTCTACCTTGCAATGAAATTGCTCTCTTCACTAACCAAAATGAGCACTCATTTGACAAATGCTGCTGTTGTACTCTGTGCTGTCTTTGTTATACCTTGCAATGCTATTGTTATCTTAACTAACCAAAATGAGCACTCATATGACAATTGTTGCTGTTGTACTCAGTGCCAACTCAATTGTACCGTACAATAAAGTTTTATTCACAATAGAGTAAAACTTGCAACTAGCATATTACAACAACAACAACAACAAAAAACCAGTATAATCCTACTAGTGGGGTCTGGGGAGGTTAGTGTGTACGCAGACCTTACCCCTACCTGGGGTAGAGAGGCTGTTTCCGGTAGACCCTCGGCTCTCTCCCTCCAAGAACTCCCCACCTTGCTCTTGGGGTGACTCGAACTCACAACATCTTAGTTTATTAAAATTCCTAAAACATGTATATATTTGCAGTGAATTTGGTGATGGACAAAATTGCCAACAGACCAAGAGGATTTGCTTTCCTTCATTATGCTACGGAGGAGGAATCACAGAAAGCAATTGAGGGAATGCATGGCAAGGTAATACCAGCATTCATCCTTAGCTAAATAGAATGTAACTCTGTCATAGAACATGTTGTTCACTAAAGAATCTATTGGCATATAGTGTAAAATCTTTTCTACAAATCTTATACGTGTCGGAGTCAGCCCACAGAATGCCCGAATGAAAGACTCATATAAAATTAACTAACGCTATTGTCTAGGACCACCTTGTCTTGCTTTGGAAACATATCAAAGGTTCATTGAAACTAAGTAGCAGTAAATTTATGGAAAGCATTTGCTGTTGCACTCTTTGGTCTACTTCTTTTGAAATCGAGGTAAGGTTTTAGCATCGGTTTGACTTTTTACAATATTAAATCGGGTCAAACAACAATGGATAAACGGTGAAGGGGACCGGTAAAAAGGAGTGAGTTTTAAATTGAGCCATGTGCAGAATTAGGAGATAAAATATTATAATGATTTACCGTTTGGACCAAGAGGAAAATTTAGCCCATTTTGATAATGACAGGGTTTTATTTGACCCTTAGACCATTTTGCATAGCCCAGGGACAAATGTGGACCTTTCCTTATAATCATTCCTATCATTTTTATTGTCAAAGGTAACAAATATTTGTTATAGAACAATCTTTTTATCTCCATGTTTTCAAACACGGAAAACCCTTCTAAGTAGTGCAACCTTAAAAGAGACTTATGGCCCTCAAACAGTCTACAGACAAAAACAACTACTATGACTTAATCCCAAACAAGTTGGTGTAAGGCTCAAACAAAAGTCTACTGCTTTGTGCAAGTCCTTTTTGATGCTCTTTCACACACCTGATATGTTTAGTCATTGTACAAGGGCATAAATGATGAGACACAAGCTTGGATTAAAACTTGGGAATATACATAAGTTGCACCTTGAAGTTGTCCCCAAAACTCAATTATACACTTAAACTTTGCGGGCGGCCTTTTACCTCCCTATTCTTATTTGAAGTGGAACTAAGACCCCCATAAGTGACAAAATGGCAAAAAATGTGATGTTCGCCCACATCAGGCACGTGAAAAGCTATAAATACGCCTAATTGATAAAATTGTCTGGCAACTAGGACCATTTAAAATATGACAAGCGGAAGATGGGGTCCATTTATTATTTTTCCAACTATGCAAAAGTAAAAAATATGAGGAAAGAAAAAGAAATAAGTTTGACCTCTTTCCTCCTTCAACCCCCCCGCCTTTCTCTTTTTCAGTTAAGGTTTCTGGACACTTTTCCTAACAAAGTCTCAATCTTTTCTTTTTTGAACAATGCATCTCTATTTGCAAGTCCCAAAGTTATTATTTATATGGAGAAAGAGCTGATGGAGCGTAAGATTCTTGAGCTGGAAAGTTTCATTGAAACTGGGTGTCTGCATTTTTCTTAAAGAAGCTTTGTGTATTTGAGGAATGTGCTTGATGTATATGATTTTTTATTTTTTTGGTTTGTATGGTTCAAGATGAAAATCAGCCTAAGATAATTAAGCCCAAGTCATTAAACAAGAATAATTGCTTGATTTTCTTCATTAGCTTCATCGAGTGTCCACTGGCCGGAAAATCGAACTCCAGCGACCTTATTTTTTCCGGTGAAGAAGAACTCCTAAGGCTCTTTTAGCTCCTATTCACTTTTGCTGCATTGCCTTCTTTCGTCATCAAACATCTCCTCCTCCATCCCCTTCACCTTCTTCCACCTTACGCCGGTGTCCTTCCCTCTTCAACGTCGCCAAACTGCTGCATTTTACTGAAGCAAGAACTCAAACAATTCAAAGCCCACTGTGTGAGTGATAAACAAATAACTCTTTTTTGAAAGTTTTGTAGGTTTCAATTGAAATGGAAAAAAATAGTACTCCTACATGATTTTCTGAAAAGTGCGAGAGGAAGAAGAAAAAAATAGTGAAAGAATTGATAGAAGAGAAAATACACGTTTCAGTGTATGTAACACACAACAACAACAAACACAGTATAATCCCACAAGTGGGGTTTGGGGAGGGTAGTGTGTACACAGACCTTACCCCTACCTTATGAAGATAGAGAGGCTGTTTCCGGTAGACCCTCAGCTCAAGGAACAGTAAACTAAATCAACAAACAATAGCAACAACAAAGTAATAGGTTAATGAAAGCGAATAATATAACATGTACTAATAACGAACCAGGAATAAGCAAATACAACAATAGGACTAGTTTTACTGACAAGCCTAGGAGAGACTCGGGCAACTAATCTGTCAACCTTCAACCCTAATACTCGTCCTCCACGCCTTTCTATCGAGGGTCATGTCCTCGGTAAGCTGAAGCAGTGACATGTCCTGTCTAATCATCTCACCCCAGTACTTCTTAGGCCTACCCCTACCCTTCCTCAGATCTGCCATGGTCAACCTCTCACACCTCCTAACCGGGACAGCTATATCTCGCCTCATCACGTGCCCGAACCATCTCAGCTTCGATTCTCACAACTTGTCCTCCACATGGGCCACTCCCACCATGTCCCTAATAATTTCGTTCCTAATCTTGTCTTTCTTGGTATGTCCACACATCCATCTCAACATCCTTATTTTCAGCTACTTTCATCTTCTGGACATGGGACTTCTTGACGGGCCAGCACTCAGCCCAATACAACATAGTCGGACTAACCACCACTCTGTAGAACTTGCCTTTAAGTCTTGGTGGCATATTTTTATCACACAAAACCCCGGATGCAGGCCTCCATTCGACACTGGCCTTTTAAAATCTAGGCATTGCTTTTCAAGGGGGTGTTAGCTCCACTTCAAACAAGAATAAGGGGTAAAAGATCGCCCTCAAAACTTTTTGAGACAACTTCAAGGTGCAATTTATGTATTTTCCCCTTTCCTGCTTTTGTCTTTTTGTCCAGCAAAATTCAATATATGTGCATACCAATGGATCAGTAACTGCTTTGAGGTCAATATATGTGGACCCATGAAGTTCCTCTTTGTATAGATGATTGGATGTTATTTATAGAGAGTCATAGTTTTATGTAGGTCTCTACTTTTTGGTATACCCCTTGTATACGAGTTTTTATGCCCAATTTTGGTCAATAAAATTTATTGCTTTGTTAAAAAAAAAATGTATGTATTACATATTTTTGGGGTCGAAGTTAGATGTCCCAATGGAGATATACAGTAAACAAAAAATAAGGTTGGTGACTTTATTTGTCAAGTGGATGCCTGACAAGTTCAGACATTAGATACAGATCTTGGTGCAGGTTTAGCCAATTTTCATATGGCTTCCCGTCATTTATTGTTTGATAGATTGATAAATGAACGCTATTAGTTCTTCAGAATAGATAACAACCCTACATCTACATTAGCAGATAGAGGATTTTGTGTGCGTGGAAGATCAGCTACTGGTCATCCGTGAAGCAAGTCATCTTTATGTCACATGATACTGTATGGCAATTGATTTTCAATAAAATACTGTAAGCTGCGTGATGATAGTTTCTTTTTAGAATAAGACTAAGTTCTTTATACACCTGTCTAGGATAGTATACCACCTAAAGGATATAAACCACAGAGAAGATATTGAAAGAAGTGAGTTGGCCATGTCATAAGCTCTGGTAACATGTCAATCTTTTTGCTGATTGTTTTTGTGATAATTTTTGGTAATTTCAGTGTTAACTCTTAGGGTTTCAGAGTCATTGACTTCATTACATTGCTAGTGATATGTCCAAATTCCAAACTATCAATTAGGACTATTTCAATTATTCAACAATTTGAAGAGTTCAGAAATCTTTAGAACAAGTTAACTTTATTGTAAAAATAAAGGGCAATCCGGTGCACGGAGCATCCCATGTTCATGCAGGCCGGGGAAAGGGCTGCACCCAAAGGGATGTAATGTAGGTAGCCTACCCTTATACAAGCATCAGTGGCTGATTCCACGGCTCGAACTCGTGACCTACAGGTGTCACGGGGACAACTTTACTGTTGCTCCAAGGTTCCCCTTCTTTTATTATAAAAATAATTCCGATAAACATGTATGCAAACAGTGAAAACTGAGTTTGCAACCAACTTTTTTTCCCAAACCAATGCATTAATATCTTTGGATGTTTGAATATGTATATGGTCAAAACCGTTTTCAACCTTCGTACGATTGGTGAAAATAGACCGAAGAACATCTTCATAATATCGAGGTGAGATTTGAAGAAGGCACGAACAAGTTTCGAGTTTCGGAGTCAGATTAAATATCGAGCTCGACACCATTATCGAGCTCGAGTCCAAATCGAACTATACTGAGAAGCGACGGAATCGAGTTTAAGAGCCAGAGGCCAACCAATACCGAGTCCAAGTCAATACCGGACCCCGAGTCGGCATCGAGCTCAAACCCGCATCGAGCTCTAAAACTGGAAATCGACCAATACCGAGTCCGATCAAGATCGAGCTCATAGACAAGAGCCGTTACAGCCGCACTAAGGGAGAAAATCTCGGCGGGAATTAGAGAAAAGCTGATTTATCATGGGTTCTCCACTATATATTTTTAATTATATCTAAAGTAGGATCCCCCACTATAAAAGGGATGGCTATATTTCTGTAAAGGGGGAAGTTTGGCATACATTGTAACTCAGATATCATATTGAAGAATTATCCCTTTTTAGCTTCATAGATTGATTCATTTTGCTTAATCCATAAATCATCTTCCTTTCAACCCGGTTTGAATCTTTTCTTTATAGTTAATATTCGATATTTCTATTTACTTTTACGATTTGTGTCAAGTTATACCACATACCCTTAGAACTACATACAAATTCAACTCTATCCGTTTTTCGAGTAAACAGTTTGGCGCCCACCGTGGGGCTAAGGATAACAATGGTTATTTGATACGAATCTGCAAAACACACCATTTTATGCTTGTTTTCGGAAGTGCCTTTGATTTCGGATTAGCAACGACGAGCTCTCAAATTAAATGGCCTTACCTATCGACAACGAAGCCGGCCTTCAAGGTGAGAACAACAACTTGACGCCCAGGGTCGGAATGCCGCTTGTCGACGCCGTTGGAGCTCGAAT